CTCTCCTAGCTCAATTCATTATGACAATCTTTAATTGGGCGCGCAGCCAAAATGTGGCCCAGTTTAATAGGCTTGTTTCAGTGTAACCCATAGACTAATATGCTTATTTGACATAGTCATTAATAATGATTTATTGAATAATACTTGATAAAGAGAGGGCACAAAACCTTTCAAAGGGTGGTTCTTGGAAAGCTTAAAAGTCCACCAACTAGCCTGCATTAAAAAAAAAAAGAAAGAAAGAAACGTGAGAAGTTAAGAAAATTCGTATCTTGCCAAAGAGTTCCACGACTGAATTGCAGCCATGTCTAATTCTGAGGGTTTAAAGAGTTACATCCTAACAGAAATTAGTCGATATCAAGCTTTTACTCTAGATAGTCATAGGGAGCTGTGTACATGGGGAAGCAGAAAATTATCTACGAATCATATCTATAACTTGTTTTATTGATTAAAAAAAAATTAGGGGAAAAAAGGCGTTCCAGCCTGCCCTTTGAAGTTACATAGAAAGGATTTCTTAGGTTTACAGTACTTGGTTCAATAAAAAGACTTGTATTTGGTTGGCAGTTATCTTAAGAAAAATATTATCTAGACATTCCCTTGCCTATTCTAGAGCAAGCTGAAATTAATGGTGAAGTTTGCTGCTTTTGTACACTACACTGGCAAAATTTACCTAATAATCATGAAATATCAAATCAATCTTCAAAATGGCCATTCACAGCCATTTTGAGAGCAATTTCCTCCAGGACCTCGCTCAGAACAATGTTCTTGTGCCACTCATCCCCAGCCCCCTTTGGGGGCAATACACCGCCCAGCCTGGCCACTGCAGAGTGGAACTAATTCCTTCCTCTTAACGCCTCTCTCCAATTAGCTGGTGGGAAATAGAAATGATTTACTTAAGAGACAGCTTTTCCTCTTACTCAAACCTATTGCCATTCTCATCCAAGCATCACTCAGCTGCTAATTTTCTTGGGAAGTTGTACTGTGCAGGGGGAAAGAGCACGGAGTTGCTAACATAGTGACGTAAGCAAGTTATTTAACCTTCCTATGCCTCAGTGTCCTTACTTGTCAAATAGAGTTCATTTCTGCTTTCTACTCTTACTGCAAAGATTAAGTGCCAAAAGCATGCTAGCAGCACATAGGGTTGCCTGGTTCATAGCAGTGTTCCGTGAATTATTGTCATCGTGTAATAGGCAAATAAACAGATAAATAATTATAAAACAGTGTCATAAAGCACAAAGGGTAGGTACAAGATACAGTGAAACACCAAGGAGGGTTAAACCGTGCATCGTCTCTATAATATCCCTGACAATTTGTCACCAGAGACCATTAGGACAGATCTGCCAAAAAACAAAACAAAACACACACACACACAAAAACCCCAAAACCAAACGAAAACAAACAAAAAAACCCCACACACCTCATGGGGCAGGCAGATTTAATTATTGCAATATTTTCCCTTGAAAACAAGTCTTTAAATTCTCTAAAAATGGCCTGCCACTGGCTTTCACCCATTCCTTCCCTTTCTCCTCCAAGATCAAATTCACTGTCATGTTTTCATGGTCAGTGAGAAACCAACAGAAAGACCCTATGGGCTTCAAGTTCCCCAGAAGTATAATTCTACCACAGTGAGAATGGCCATGCCAACCAGTCCCCAGTGACTGTTTATGCCTAGGGTTCAGAGGGAACCTGAAGGATGTTTTCTTAATAGCCGAGAATAACACAATCAGAGACTTTTACAGGGTGGGTGGGGGTGTGAGGGACGGCAGAGGTGAGATGAGTGCCAACTATCGACCATCCTCAGTAAACAAGTTATGAGATTTCCCAGGTCTTTTTAATTTTGGGGGGGATCATATTGTATTCACCCTGTGCTCTCTTGCACCTGCTGTAGGAATGCATAATTGAATGGCTTTATCCCACATTACACACACTCTACAGTATCTATCAAAATCTTATATTCTTTCATGTCAGTAATATAAGCAATAGATATTTCAGAAATGTATAAGTGACATTGAAACAAACTTTGAAGTACAGGATGAATACACTGCTTAATTACATACAATATATTCTTCTTTCTTTTTTTTTTTTTTTTAAAGATTTTATTTATTTATTTGACAGAGAGATCACAAGCAGGCAGAGAGGCAGGCAGAGAGAGGAGGAAGCAGCCTCCCTGCTGAGCAGAGAGCCTGATGCAGGGCTCGATCCCAGGACTCTGAGATCATGACCTGAGCCGAAGGCAGCGGCCTAACCCACTGAGCCACCCAGGCGCCCCAATATATTCTTATTTCTTGCATAACGACAACAAGTAACTTATTTCTATGAGTTAACCAAATCAGCTCCATGTCCGCTGTAGAATGAGAGCTCGTTTTCCATCCTTCTTCCCTTTCTCCTTTCCTTTCATCCATATTTATTTTAAATTTAATGGACAATTTTAAATGACAAAATTACTCTTTGATTACAAGTGAAAAAAACTCCAGATATTAAAAAAAAAAAAAAAGTAGTCAGAAAGCCCTGTCTTTTCTTAGGTACTAGCTTCTTCTTTCATGTTTCTCTCTGTTTATATAAATGTACACAGATATTTAAATTTATTTTTATTTTTGGTCCAACACAGGGGTCATATTATAAACATTTTTGTGTAAACTTATTATTTTGTTTATTAGATTTAGATATTTAAATGCTTCAGATCTTTAAAGGATTTTAAAAATGAATAATCCCCAATATGAACATAGGGATAGGTCATGTTTAAACTTTGCTCCTTGTTTAGAATCTAATAATTTTTAAAAGAGGAACCATATTTTACACATGAGTTAATTAGCTCCAGGGCTCTAGACAGAAGGATGAAGATCATGTTTGTACCATCTTCTAGGAGAAATGGACTCCACTAAGAAGAGTTACTAGAAAGAGGTTGAAGACAAGGATTTCCTTGCTTACATACAACTCTGCATGGGCAAAGAGCAGTTCCCTAGGCCTGTGAGAGAGTTAAAATATCACTCCAGATGTGAGTCCCTAAGTAGGAACCTGACACCGCTGCCTATCAAAAGGCAGTGTGGTGACTCAGAAGCACCTTTCCTCTTGGGAGAGGACCACTGCTGCTTATAAGTAAGTGGTATCCTTCCATCAGGAAGTATGAATGGGATTTAGACAAAAGTCTGGTCTCAGTCCTGGATCCACCATTTACCAGTTATGGGACACTGGACAACTGTGTTCTTCAATAATCCATAGTGTGTGTGGGGGGCACACGCATGCACACACTGCAAAGAATTAAGAATCACTGTTGACATGACATGCTGATAAAACCTACCTCCCAGGACAGCAAAGAAGATCAAATGATCACCTGCCATGAAAAGTACTTTAAGAAACTGAAATGCAATCCCATGTTCAAATTACATAAAGAGATTCTTCTCAAGACATTTCATCTTTCGGGTTTCATAAACTGTTTAGATGGGTTCTTTTTTTTTTTTTGACACCATTTGAAAAATTACTGCAACAAAATTTTCTTACATAGAGTCTGTCAAAGGGGTAGATGGTATATAATCTGCATTTATGTAGAGACTATTACCCCCATTTTACAGTTGGCAAAACTAAATCCCAGACAGATGACATGGCTGTTGTGGGTTTGAGCTGGAACTAGCTTACCGGGCCTCACCTTTCTGCACAATCCAGGGCATTTCCAACATTTACTCACACTACCTCTTCCTACTCCAAACCTCACGAGATGTAGAGAAGATCATGAAAAGTAAACCTCAAGTGGATTTATGGCACAGTTATACAAATATGCATCAATTTTGGGCCCTTTAAGTATTACATAGTAGTTGTTTCCCTTATGATCTCTTCCACACACCAAGGAACCTCTCTCCCTCTCATATCCTACACGCCAAAGGGAAGACAAACCTGTGGTCCACCACTGTTATCAGCATTCTTTACTGTTTCTAATTCCAGCTTGGAAACAGAGGCTATGCTGTCCATTGGCTATGTGGAAATAAGTGATACTTGAATTTTAAGCTCAAGTGTTTATTTGCAACTTAAAATTCAATAAACATTCTGGCATATCATATTGGGAGAAAGGCACATGTAACTCTTTGATTTCAAGTATTTTGTTATTTTCTGATTTCTTTGCCTTAATCCTAGGATAAATATCAAATTCTCAGGCTATTTGGATATGGATAATTCTGTATCCATGGTCAAATGCATCCAATGCTAGGTCAATGATTATGAAATTTGTTTCAGAACTGTATTACATAGCTCTCTACCTTCTCGAACAGAATGCGTTTCACACGATACACTGCTGCTTGTGGACACAGAGTCATCATTATGAATGCCATTTATTGTTCAATTATGTTTTCAGTGATTATACTGGTGTATGAGGCTACTGGTTTCCATGCTATGTTGGCTCAGACAGCAATGCGACTTTGGGCGGCTCATATCTTTTGTTCTTATATGTTGTATGTTTTATGTTCTTGTATCTTTTGTCTCCTTGTCAGTTGTCTCTTCTCTTGTTGCTATTAATACCTCAGTCAAGTAGCAATATCTCTCATTAATCATTTAAGAAAGCAGTTGTGTTAGTTTGCTACACTGCATAACAAACTACCACAAAATTAAAGGCTACACATAACACAAATTTATTATCTCCTAGCTTTTCTGTGTCAGGGGTCTGAGCATGGTTTAGCTGGGTCTTCTGCCAGGCTATAGAGCACCTACCAGGGCTGGGCTCTCATCTGGAGGCTCGCTTGGGAAAGTGTTCCCATCAGATACTTTTAAGTTGTTAGAAGAATTCACTTCCTGTGTCTGTAGGACTCACATTATCTTGTCTCTTCAAAGCCAACAGAAAGGAAAACAAGTCTCTCAATTAGGTCTTGAGCAAGTTAGAGTCCTATGTAACATAATCACAGGAATGACATCCTATCACCTTTGTTATATTCTGTTGGTTAGAAACAAGTCACTGGTCCTCCCCAAACTCAAGGGGAAGGAATTATATGAGGTCATAAACACCCAGGAGGAGGGGATCATGTGGCTACCCTAGAACCTGTCAGCCATAGCAATACCAGTTAATCCACTAGGAATCAAATGCAAAGTTAGGATAATACAGCCATCATGAGAGGCCAGAAGAGTCCTTGTGAGTTAACTGTAACTACTTTTATGACTTCCATTTTATTTATTTTTTTAAGATTTTATTTATTCATTTGAGAGAAAGAGACACAGCGAGAGAGGGAACATAAGCAGGGGTAGTGGGAGAGGGAGAAGCAGACTTCCCACTGAGCAGGGAGCCCGATGTGGGGCTCGATCCTAGGACCCTGGGAGCATGACCTGAGCTGAAGGCAGACACCTAACGACTGAGCCACCCAGGCACCCCATGACTTCCATTTTAATTACTGTCTGAATCTTGAGCATGTTCTGGACACCCTGGCTATTCATTGTGTGATTTTTAGCTATATGGATGAGTTCTCAAGCCAGAAATGGTGACTTTCAAGAAATACCACCACTAGGTCCTATTTTCTTTCTTCTCAAAATAGGTTGTAAAAATGCTGGCCAGTTCACTATCATTACTACACGAAAACAGCTTGTTACTGAGTAGGTTGAGTCTGTTTGTGTATGGCTACTGCTCAGTTACTAAACACTGCCTAACCCACACGGTGGGTCAGGGCCAGGCATTTGCTATGGCAAAAGACCCAGAATAGTAAGCAAAGCGAAAGTGAATATCTTCCTTCTCTTCTGACTCCTGGAAAACAGGAAGCTTAGCCTCTGAAGCCTTGCACTGTTTGCCTATAGAATTCTTTCTAATTGGTAATTAAAAAAAAATCTATGTGAAAGTTCTCTGTAGAAAATACCCAAACAATCCTAGATAAACTTGAACAAAATTCTATCTCTTTCATTACACACACCAGTCTGGAACTTGTTTAAATTAGTTTCTTCTTCCAGGTTAAAAGGTCAGATCTTTGTGCCTTCTTTGGTACCATGAAGAAGAGATCACTGGCATCATTTTTAGTGTACCTATTTTTTTTTTTTAAAAGACGGGGAGGGGAGAGAGAAGAGGGGCAGCAGGGGAGAGAATCTTATTCAAGCTCTACGCCCAACACAGAGTCTGATGTGGGGCTCAGTCTCATGATCATGAGATCATGACCTGAGCCAAAAACGAGGGTCAGAAGTTCCTCTGATTAAGCTACTTAGGCATCCCATGCATAACTATTTTAGACCAAAGTTGTTAGACTTTAAACTCTTTTCAGTAGTTATTCAGAAAACAGGAAATGTATGCAGCAAGTAGAATGACCTTTAAAATTCATTGGAAGAAAGTCAAATGCTTGCCACGTCTACCAGCATCCATTACATTGAGGAATTATTCATTGGATGATGAATAATCTCTCCCTGATGTAGGCACCACTGGGAACACAAGACAACATGGGGAGGTAATTCTATGACTAAATCCTATCTGAAAAACAGTATCTCTTACTTTACATCATAATTAAATCATTTTTCCCCCTAGTCAAGGTATTTAATTAGCTTGTGCTTATTACTACTATGCAAAACATAATTCCATAGTGCAAATTCAAAATAATAGCAAGATTCATAGCACAGGAATCCTTCAAACTGTAGCTAGAGCAATGAAATTATGCACAAAGTCAGCCAATCTACAAATAAGGCAGGTGTATTCATTTTTATATAATTTACTGAGTATTCCACATAAGTTATTGTGGTAGCATAACTATTTGAGATAATAATTGATTTTTCTTCATTCGTTCCACAAAATACAGGGTTACCATGCATCCCAAGTGAGAGATTATCAGACCAGGCCAGAATTACTGAGTTTGATGTTCAGGTTAAAAATCAAATATTTGATAGTAGATATGGTCTAGCTTATTCTTTTTTCCCCATGAGCTCTTCCTCCAACTAACTCCATATAAATGAGAATCTTCTATAACGGCTAAGAAGGTAGAGTATGGAAAGGATTCAAGATCGATGTGTCTGGAAATGGTTTACCTTTCTTGACCACTGGAAAGATTTGCTTGGGTAAGAGGGCAGCATGTACCCCTACTTTAATTTTTTAAGTTTGGGGATCTTAGGGAAGAAAAGACATTGCCCACTTTGTCCCAGCAGGAAGGGATACAGTCTTCAGAGAAAAGTCCTCATGCCACCCTGGTGGCCAGAGTAGAAATGGTGGCATGATGTATGGATCTAGGAATGAAAGAGACTCCAAACTCTCATGTCCACACCCTGAATTCCAGTGTCCCTTGGATCTAGTGCAGCATCTAAAAGACCCTATGGATTCCAGAGGGTCTCAGGGGTTATTAGAGAAAGAGGACATCATGGCCAAAATGGTCATCACTGATAATGCTTGGTGAGATGGATAGGATGGACAGTGCTCACGTGAATTTGACGGATGAGGCTATTCCTTGGCGGGTAGTTAGTAGCAAGGATCCAGAGCTCGATCAGCACTGGAAGGAGATCTAAGCTGCATTTCCCTTCACTTCAAGTCTTCTTTTGAGTGGCCACAAACCTCATCTATGCCAAGAACCAGTAAGATGAGTAAGATCCTGAGTAGGGAGCCAGATTACAACCACAAATGTTTCCCCTCTTTTCTGTAGTGGCATGTGTATAAGCTTCCCAGAGAATGGGGGTGAGGTGATGGGCACATACAACAGAGACAATCCTGGACCCAAATCACTAACTTGTACTAAATTCACCTTCTACATCAGGCCCAACGGGGCAGAGGGTGGAATAATACACAAAATAAAATGAAATTTGATTACAAAAAGCAACTAAAGTCAACCCCGAGACAGAAGTTATCCTGTGCTAGTTCATAAAATACCCTGGATAACTATAATCAAATATATATTATAAAAATAACAAAATTCATAAAAGAAGGGGACTTCGTTAAAATAGGAAGGATCACTTCTGATAGTAGGAGAAAGCCTCTATGGGTTATGTAAGGAGTTCAACATGAACCATGGAGTCAGGCTACTGGATTTGAAATCAGCTTCTACTACATACCAAGGGTGTGACCTTGACAAGTTAGTTAACCAAAATGTGCCTCAGTTTCCCCATAAGGATTATCCTCATATTATCTGAAGTGTTTGCCACTTTGATTATTACATATATAACCCACTTAGATAAATGTTTGCTGTTGCTATACTCATCACTGTCACCATCACCACTAGCTGCTCCAGAGTTCAACCAGTTCTCCTGCATGTCCCTTACAATCCAGCATCAGGGAGAGGGTACCAGCATGGCGGCGCTTCCCCTTCTATCAAAGAGAACCACTGAGCCATGTTGGCATAGCCTTTGTTCTTTCTTAGGAGTTACCCTCCTTGCATTCTGGGAAATAAAGATTTTTGCATCTATGTCCATTCCTCTTAGATTGAAACTTTACAGACCACATATAAACTAGGGATTTAGTTCCATGATCATCCTACCTAGTGTATCCCTATGGAAAAGACCACTGGCTTCTCACTCCAAAATTTATTCTCCCTTCCTCCTTAAATTCGGTACATAGTACATACTCTGTATAGTATGAAGACTGCATGACCCTGAACCCCCTGCCCCCAGGCAGGGCTCTGTGGCTTAGTTCATGCCAGTGAGCTATTCAGAGGATACAAATGGCAGCTTCTGGAAAAGCCCTTGGGAGCCAGATGGTATATATCTTTTCCTCCATTATCAACGTATTGTTTGTCCCTTCCTCCATTTCATTGCCCAGAATATGAGTGACTGGAGCTCTGGGAGCCATTTTTGGATCACAAGGTGTCCTCAAGAATAAGAGGCAGAAGCTAAGATGATTTAGGAGAAAATGGAATGAGCCTGGGTCCGTAGCACCTTAGTTCATAGTGGCCCTGAAATTTCTATCCTTGGAAAATTTCTTTCACACAGAAGAGAAACAAATACTTATGCTTTTAACCACCATTGGGGATATTTCAGTTACATGCAGTGGGTCGAATATTAAGTGACATGATCTTTTAGCCAAATTCCCATCGGTGGCATAAATTTTGAGTTGCCAGGAGGGTAAGGCACTTGAAAAGCTAAGACCATTTTTTCTGCTTTTGGTATGATTTATATCAAATTGGAGTTCAGCACAGAATACCATCGTTTCAAGCAACTTCTTTAACAAAGCTTGGAAGGTATATTCTCCACACACTCACTCATTTATATAGTCAGGCTAATATGTAATACATGAAGATCAATTGTCTCTAGAAACTCGGAACACTAACCAGCAATGGGTCATACCTTCAAAGCAATCTACTTAAATTGTACTTTCAGACTGGAGGCAAGCAGCCCTCTGAACACACATCCACTCAAAGCCATTAAAGGGCAATGGAGTATGCAAAGCAATAACTCTACAAGGGAATCTAATTCAAACTAAAATAAAGTCCACCTGAAATTTAGTGTGTTCAGCAGCAACTTTGAACCTGCTTTATATATAATCAAGACCAACCTTTAAAAAAAAAAGCAAAATAAATCAAGTGCTATTTCTAAAGACTTTCCTATTAAAATGATGAGGTATTCTAAAATGATACTCATAATCTAACTACTTTGCCATTACCCTGGTGACCTTCCCCCAAAACAAAAACATTTCAACAGTTAGAATTAAAGTGCTGATGGTCTAAACTAAAGAGTAAGGACTGCTTAACCCGCATTTATATTCCCTGGTAGCTCCTAGAATAGTTTGTTAAATATAGTAGGTGCTTAGTAAATGGTTGTTGAGATGAATCTGCATTTTAAAAATGTGTATTACTTTCATCATTAAAGTGACAAATCAGTTTTGTGACCTTGAGAAAGTTACTTTTCTTTTTCATATCCTCATCTGTTAGAAGGGGATAGAACCCTCTTCCCAAGATTAATGAGGTATGTATGCAAAGTGCCTTAGGTAGCACGTGGTATAGAAAGTGCGGACAATAAATGATAGTTGGTATTCTCATTATTATTATTTGTACTGCCAGTATGTCATTATTATTATTACTCTGCTTTAGATTCTGTTCTGTGTGCTGGACAAAGTATTGTGGAACATAGTCCTTGCTTAGAAGATTTCCAAGGCAGATGGTCTATAGATATGAAAAAAGAAATGGAGACCCAAAGTTGGAGGGATGTTACAGCCAATGGACAATGTTCTTGGGATGGGATCCAGGAATTCACTCCTAGTCTGAATTTGTTGACTGCCTTGTGCCCTACTGTAGCTCTAGCCAAAATTCCATTTGCCTCCCTCTCCCTCTCCCTCTTCCTACCCCCGCTGCTGCTCCATATTTTACCCACTAAGATTTCCGATTTCCTGCTTTTTTCCCCAGAGTTGCACTAATATTCCCCTCTGGGCAGATACCATCCCTACAGATTAAGATCCTGACAACAGATTGCTCTGAGGCCCCAGCCAAGGACTCTCCACACCTGCGTAAGGTCCGCTGTGCAACCTAAGAAGGCAGGGCCCTGTCTGGTTCCATAAGCAAAGATCATGAGTTCTGTAGGAATTTGGAGAGACAAGCCCATCCTGAGAGCACGTGAGCAAGTGAGACCTGAGTTGGTTACTGAAGAAAGGTCTAGAGAAGAGGGAAGAAGGATGTACCAGGTGGAAGAGGCTCTATAAGCAAAGATCTGAGCTGGTAATTGCACATGGGAACACAGCGTGGTCTCAGCAAGCTGCAGGGAAGACAATCTAAATGGACGCTGTCAGAAACAAGGTTAAAGTTAAGTAGGGACCACACGAAGGGGTTTTGGCATTAAACTGTGTTTGAAGAACTCAACTTTCCTGAAACATATAATTGGCTTTGACAAAGAAGTACTCATTACACGAAGGGCAAAGTGGAGCTTTTGGAATATTATGTTGGTAAAGGTACATGTAGAAGCCCAGGCAGAGCATGCATATTTGTGGACAACTGAGAAGGAAGATGAAATCTATTACAGGTAGGAAGCTCTGACTCTAGAAACACAGAACTGGTTCTGACATAAAAGATAATTTGAGTGGTAATCAAAAAATATCACCAAAAAGCAACTCCATGAAATTTGAAGTTTCCATTAAATATCTAAGTTGAAACACAGTATTCTGGAGCTGCAAAGTCATCCAGAGTATATTTTATCTTAAAGGTCAGGAAAATGAAGTTCAGGAAGATGCATGTCTTGCCTCAAGTCTCACAGCCAATTGGAAACAAAGCCTCAACCCAACAACACAAACCCTCCTTGGGTTTTAGGCTCCATAAGTGACACTTTTACATCAAATCCCACATTTTTAGTTTGGGTAAAACTATATAATTGTTGATAAAGGTCTTTTCACTTAGCAGAAATTACATATGTACAATTAAGTAATATAAATAACAGATCTTTATTTTTTAGCATTCCTTTTGCTCTTTGTCAATATCAAGTTGAAATCAAACTTAATAAAGACAAAGGAAGACTAAAATGTGCTCCTTTCAAAACTTTTCATTGAGCAATAATGCTGTTATTTTTGAAGCCGAACAAAAACATGACCATGACCTTCTTCTTACTTAGAAGTTACTACTAACAAATGTAAAAATGGTATAGAGCATTTTAAAATCAATATTTAGAGATCGTTTCTATTCAATACTATCATGCTAGTAAAGAATGTCCTTTTAATGTTTTGCTTCAATTGGCCCACCCAATTATAATCTCAGTGTAAACACCTAAATTTCTATCTACTTTGAAATAGCACCTACTTAAAAAAAAAAAGTCTATCCAATTACAAGATTATATAAACTCTGAGAGGATATGAGGCATCAAGGGGTCATTTTGCTCCTGCCCACAACCCATAGTATTCTGTCATATTTTCTTAAATTCAAGTGACAGAATTTGGACTCTCTGTTATAGGATTCCATTAGGCTGTCCTCTGACCTTTCTGATTCTACTCAGCACCTCCCTATGCAGATGCCTGGTGCCAGTGACCTTGTCCAGCTGCTGGCAGCGGAGTCAGCCACTGCCCCCCCTCCAGCTGCCTTCAACTACTGATGGACACTGGACATCACCTTCACGCACAAGCAGGTCATCAGTGGTCTGTTGGAGACAGGCATTGGAACCCATCATACAGCCGGACAGTTTCAGCACTACCTCAGAAGCTGCTAAGGAACTCCTCTGAAAGTTGTCTTTTTTCATGAGCTGAATTAGCTCTTTTTATTAAGGAAGCAATAAATTATTTTTTGGTGCCCCAAGTGATTTTCTGAGGAGCAATTTAAATCACAGTCCTTAGTTAGTCTGTGCTTATTAGCAAACTTCCAAAGTAAAGCAACAAGGAATCAGCTGCTTGCATTTGTAACTGTTACTTAAGATATTCCGTAGTCATTTCAAAGTACTCTGGCTTACTTTAGGATAACTGGGAGTGGACCCTATCTCAGGAATTTGAACATTCATTTAAAGGAACAACGTTGGTGTGAATTAGGAAGAATTTCTTTAATACCAAAATTTCACTAGTACGACACTTTCTTTGGGAAGGATCTCACAGTGTGAAACCTGAAAATGTACTGGAACAGTCCTCAAATTCACACGTTATTTATATATTTCTAACTAATGTTAATTTTTTTAACAGAATTATATATATTTTTTTATTTGAGAGGTTGTTTGGCCTTAAAAATCTGCTTGTGTGAGAGTTGGGATTTATAATGCTTCACATTTTATTAGTTCCCGTGTCTTTTAGATAATTAATCTTCATATCTATTTGTTGTTTGGAGTAAATGACAGACTCCTAGCAAATGGTGGTTATCTCATAAACAACTGATAGGAACTGTATAAGCTGTAAGGAAATTGGAAATTGAAAAAGAACGCCCCCCAAGGATAATGGTTTTTTTTTTTTCAGTTAATTCCAAAGGTCAAGTGTAAGAAGTAGTCTCTCTCCTTAAATACTGAGATTCATCATCCTGACATTATTTACTAGAGCTGCAGTTCATGAACTGATAGGAGGCCTCATGATCTCGTATTCTGTTGTCATACATTTGACTACTCCTTAATTATATGGTGAGGCAAAAATGTGAATTGTGTATATACTAAATCTTGGGTACTGAGCTTTGTCACGTTATGTTTCAATGATTTGCCAGTTCAACCACTGCTAATAAAAACAGCATTTTGTGCTGATTTTTGCCAGACATTTTCCTTAAGGTTTTATTATGCATGTATTTAAAAATATTCCAATCATAAAAAGTGCGGGGAATAATAAAATAAACTTTTCTTTGCGACCACTAGCCATTTAAACATATATTAACATCTTACCATGATCTTTTTTGAAAAATAAAATATTACAGATATGGTTAAAGTGTACTATGCACAGGGTCCCAACCTGATCTCCTTCTTTTCTGCCTATGCAGAGAGTAACCAACATTACAAAACTGGAGCAAATTTTTCCCACCCTTGGTTTATACATCATCATTTTCTCTAAACATTATCTAATAAATATTTATGTGATACTAAAATTAATACAAATTGTACATTATAAAGTAGTATCATTTCCTCCTCAACATTATAGTTTTGAGATTGATCCAATGCATATAGATCTAGTTATTTATTTTAACTGCTTCTAGAGCATCTTATTTTATGACTAAACCACCAATAGCTCATCCACTTACCTTCTAATGAATATTTAAGGTTTTCTTTCAGTTGTAGGCTGAAACATTCAATACTTTGTTGAACATCTGTGTAATTGTTTCTCTAGGGTAGGTTTCTAAAGGGAAATTGGTGGGATTTTGGCTATGCTTATACTTAACTTTATAGACATCAGAAAGTTGCTCTTCAAAGTGGCTCTATCAATTTGTACCCCAACAGCAATACAGGAGTTTCTTACTACCTTTCTTCCTTGCTGATACTGCCTTGGTTGGTTCTTTTAATTTTTTGCCAATACGATGGGTACTGAATGCTGTTGTTTTAATTTATAAATCCCTGATGACTACTAACATTGAAAATAGATTGTTAATGAGTATTAGCATGCCACTGATAAACTCTTCACCTTTGAGTTATTTTACATCTTTTCCAGACTTTTGTTCCTATAGTTTTACTACAATTATGAGCGGTATCTTTCAAAAATTATATTTCGAATTGGTCAAAACTATTGCCAAACAGAGCTGTTATTGCCCTATCTCAAGTTGTTGTGAGAAATTTGTATAAACTCCCTACAGAAAGGTGCCTGATGCATATTTGGTCTTCTCCAAGCTTCCTCTGCCTTCACAGAAGTGTAGAAATGATGTAGACTACTTGTTTAGAATACCAAATAATCAGAAAATGTGAAGTTATATAGAATATTCATATGCTGAAGTTACAGTATTTTTTTTCAATAGTTCATGACCAGTAGAGTCAGAATGCATTAGCTAGGTCTTGCAAATGCAGGCACATAAAATATTTTAAACCCTCACAGGGTGACATATTATATATACTTTATAGGGTGTTCTGATTTTTTTCTCAGTGATATCATATTATATAACTTGAAGTGGCAAATGTACTAGAAATCAAATCTAGTCTTTCTGTCTCAGTATATCTTCCCATGGGATAGCCAATTCAAGTTACACCCATAAGGATGTCACAAAAATCACAGACTGAATGGGAATGCACTTCCACTTTTAAAACACCTGTCTCCTTCAATATCACCGCGCATTTCTTCTCTGCATAAAATCAGTTAAGAAAAAAAAATGCACTAGTCGCTAATCAATAAGGCTTTATGAAGCTGTGTGCCACTTTGAGTGTTGTGTGTTTGTAATGAAAAGTTAATTCCTGCTTCTCCTTATTCCACAAGCACTGAGGGGAGACAGGTAGATCCAACCGCAGTCTTAGGAAAAGTCCAGAGGGTGTGGAATCAGGGCAGGTGGGAAGATGCTGCTGAGAGATCAACACATTTTTAAATTTGTTTTAAAAACATTTGATTGCTCATATTCAGTAACTTAAATGCTATTGACACAGGGCTACTTCCTTGTATTTATGTACACTAAATGCTCAAAAAATAGTAGCCGGCTTAGAAGTACAATTAAGCAATGAAGTTATTATCTTCAGATGTTAGCAGTTAAATTCCACTGTTTCCTCTCTCTTGGCATGTTGGGGAGGAGGTTGGTGAACACCTTGAGAACATATGGGAATGGTTATATTATGTTTTATGTAAGTGTTTATGTGTTGGTTGAACTCATTTTTCAGTTCATAGAAATAATACTTGTCCCCACCAGTTCCCCCATCTCAACTGAGGAAGAAAAAAATAATTTACTTTAAAACAGAACCATTTTTAATCAATTGGATTTTTTATTTCAGTCGAGCTTCAGAGAATTACTGACTTGACCTTAAAAACAAACTCCCTTTTCACACATGATTATGAAAAAATAGGCCTTTCTGAGGGTCCCTCTCCTGAAAGC